GGCCATTCAGGTTTGACCTAGATCGCATCCCTGATGAATATACAGTAGAGGTGAAGAATAGATTCAAGGGTCTGGATTTGATAGATAGAGTGCCTGAAGAACTATGGACAGAGGTTCGTGACATCGTACAGGAGGCAGCAATCACCACCATCCCAAAGAAAAAGAAATGTAAGAAAGCAAAGTGGCTTTCTGATGAGGCTTTACAAATAGCAGAGGAAAGAAGGAAAGCGAAAGGCAAAGGCGAAAAGGAAAGATTTACCCAACTGAACGCAGATTTCCAGAGAACAGCAAGGAGAGATAAGGAGGCCTTCCTGAATGAACAGTGCAAAGTAATAGAAGAAAACAATAGAATGGGAAGGACTAGAGATCTCTTCAAGAAAATTGGAGAAATCAAGGGAGCGTTCCATGCAAAGCTGGCCATGATAAAGGACAAAAACGGTAGGGACCTAACAGAAGCAGAAGAGATTAGGAAAAGATGGCAAGAATACACAGAAGAACTATACAAGAAAGACCTCAATGTCCTTGACAAACACGACGGTATAATCACTGACCTTGAGCCAGACATCCTGGAATGTGAAGTTAAATGGGCCTTAGAAAGCATTGCTAACAACAAAGCTAGTGGAGGTGATGGTATTCCAGCTGAGCTATTCAAAGTCTTAGAAGATGATGCTGTTAAAGTTCTGCACTCCATTTGCCAGCAAATTTGGAAAACGCAACAGTGGCCACAGGATTGGAAAAGGTCAGTATACATTCCAATCCCAAAGAAGGGCAATGCCAAGGAATGTTCAAACTATCGCACAATTGCACTCATATCACACGCTAGCAAGGTCATGCTCAAGATCCTACAAGCTAGGCTTCAACAGTACGTGGATAGAGAACTACCAGAAGTACAAGCTGGGTTTCGAAGAGGTAGAGGAACTAGAGATCAAATTGCCAACATTCGCTGGATTATGGAGAAAGCAAGAGAGTACCAGAAAAATATCTACTTCTGCTTCATTGACTATGCTAAAGCCTTTGACTGTGTGGATCACAACAAACTATGGCAGGTCCTTAAAGAGATGGGAGTACCAGACCACCTCACATGTCTCTTGAGAAACCTGTATAAGGGCCAAGAAGCGACAGTTAGAACCGGATATGGAACAACTGATTGGTTTAGCATAGGAAAAGGAGTACGACAAGGATGTATATTGTCGCCTTGCTTATTTAATATATATGCAGAGTACATCATGCGAAATGCTGGCCTGGATGAATCACAAGCGGGAATTAAGATTGCTGGGGAAAAGATCAACAACCTCAGATATGCAGATGATACCACTCTAATGGCTGAAAGTGAAGAGGATCTAAAGAGCCTCTTGCTCAGAGTAAAAGAGGAGAGCGCAAAAGTGGGCTTGAAGCTCAACATCAAAAAAACTAAGATCATGGCATCCGGCCCCATCACTCCTTGGCAAATAGAAGGGGAAGTCGTGGAAGTAGTGACAGACTTCACGTTCCTGGGATCCCAGATCACCGCAGACTGTGACAGCAGCCATGAAATTAAAAGATGCCTGCTCCTTGGGAGGAACGCGATGGTGAACCTAAACAGCATGATAAAAAGTAGAGACATCACCCTGCCAACAAAAATACGCATGGTCCAAGCAATGGTATTCCCAGTAGTCATGTATGGCTGCGAGAGTTGGACTATAAGGAAGGCCGAGCGCTGAAGAATAGATTCTTTTGAACTATGGTGCTGGAGAAGACTCTTGAGAGTCCCTTGGACTGCAAGAAGAACAAATCAGTCAATCCTAAAAGAAATCAACCCTGACTGTTCCCTGGAAGGCCAGATAATGAAAACGAAGCTCAAATACTTTGGCCACCAAATGAGAAGGGAGCACTCACTGGAGAAGACCCTGATGCTGGGAAAGATTGAAGGTCAAAGAAGACGGGGACGGCAAAGGATGAGATGGGTGGACAGAGTCATTCGGGCCTGGCGGGATCTAGTCCATGGGGTCGCGAAGAGTCGGACTCGACTGTGCGACTGAACAACAACAACAACAACAAAAGGAGAAATAGAAAAGAACATGTCCCCAAGCCCAGTCAAATAGAAGATGATCATGAATTTCTTATCGGCCTCACCTCCTAGGAGCCAGCATCTAAGCAGTGCACTGATTTCATGAACAATCCAAAGCACCCTTGGAAAGCACCCTTTGAAGTGCTGTTCATCATCGATGGCAGCTGAAAATACATTGGGTCAACCCTCACCCTTAAGAGAAGCAGCACCTGTAGCTATATGAAAGGAATTCACTCAGTGGCCATTGTTTGTCAACCACAGCAGTATTTCCAGCCTTCAAGCAGTTTTTTCTGTCAGTAAAATGTAGGGGGAGAGAGCATGTCAGGCCTGACAACAGCCACTGGACAACTTGACACCACGCAACTTGCATAACTCATGCAGGCCCAGCTGCTTGCTACTGCTCAAGTGTTGTGTAGTGGTTAGTGTTCCAGTGTTGTGTAGTGGTTAGTGTTCCAGACAAGGATTTGGGAGACCCAGGTTTGAGTTGGGAAATACCTGGAGATTTTTGGGGTGGAGCCTGAGCGGTGGGTGTTGCCTTCTGACACACTTCCGATGATGTCAGGGTGTGTGGCATATGCAAATAAGTTATGCTAATGAGCTCCTGCACCTCTTTTTCTACAAAATGACCCCTGGAGTGGAGCATAATGAACGCAGCCATTTTTCTCTGCAACTGCCACCTTGTTCTTTTTTATCCCTCTTTCTCACTTTCAATGAGAAATTATTTGGTTTTTGATCCTGCTTCCTAATGAAAAAGAAATTCCCTTGAAGCTTACCCATGTGCCAATACTGAACTGGTGGTGCTATGCATGAGATTCCCATGACACCTTGATGTATTCTGAGTATCCTTCAAGAAAGGGCCTTGTTCTTCCTCATTAGGTGTTTACAGTGAACTGACATGGAATTATATCATGAGACATGCTGGTCAGTATCGGCTACAAAGTCCAGGGATTCATGTATGGGTGCAAAATTATGGGAGAGATATTCTGGGCCAGGCTGATATGAGAGAAACCTCAGTTCAATCAAGCCATGGGGTAACTGTTAAAAATATTTGTTAATGTTTCTTTGTTTTTTTGGAAGACTCAAAAGAACCACACCAAACACGGTTAAGTTTAAATTGTGTTTATCTAACTATTTACTGGTGAATAATTAAACAACAGTTTGTATATATCTAGAGTTATTTTCAACAGACCAACATAGAGCTATTACAGTTAAACTCTCAGAAACACCAACTGACAGTGAGTAGCAAAATAACTGTCACTCTCAGAATCTCAGTGTACGACTAAGACAGATGCGACAGCCAATCAGACTTCAAGTTGTCTCACACAGATAAGATTGACAGAGCTCCACAGTACACGCCCACATCTCTCATGCTTGAATCTTCACATTGTCTGCTGGTGTAACCTAACTTTACAAATATAAACTTATCTCTGCACTTGTGCCTCTACATTTAGAATCTGACAGTAACGTGGTCTGAGTGCACCCTAAGAGGTTTCGTTATGACTGTGCAGGCTGCTTGCTTCTGAAGGGGAAGGCAATCACCCTGTTACCACTTGAGTTCTGATCCCACTACCTATCAAATGTATTTGTTTATCGTCCTGCTTTCACACGAGACCATTTGAAACACTCATTTCACAAATTACTTTCTCAAGGTTTTGGATCACACAAAGCACATTGCTGGGGGGGGGGTGGAGCTGATGAGGAAGGAGGAGGAGGAGATTGGATTTATACCCCACCCTTCACTTGGAGTCTCAGAGCGGCTTACAAACTCCTTTCCCTTCCCCTCCCCACAACAGACACCCTGTGAGGTGGGTGGGACTGAGAGAACTCTGACACAAACTGCTCTTTCAGGAACAGCTGTGCCAGAGCTTGTGACTGAGCCAAGGTCACATCAGCAGGTGCAAGTGGAGGAGTGGGGAATCAAACCCGGTTCTCCCAGATTAGAGTCCGCACACTTAACCACTACACCAAACTGGCTCTCACCAAACTGCCTCCTCTCGTACAGTCCAGCCCCCCCCAGTTAAGACTGTCGTCTCTAGCCCTGTTCTCTGTTACCCCACATGCAGAGGTGTGGTTAGTGGCAGCCAAAGGCAGGTTTTTTCCGGTGGTGGCACCTCACATTTGGAATGTCCTCACCCTTAAGCCTCACCTGGTGCCTACCTTATTCTCTTTTAAGCATTTCTTTTGACCTGGGCTTTTAACTGGGGGGGGGGGGTTACCTTTTTTTACCTGAGGACTATTTTATGAATATCACAGTAAATGGCGGATGTTGGTACTTAACAGCCAAGATCAAGATTTGAACTCAGGGCCTCACTATGTATTACACTGTTTACGGGTCCACTCTTGTTCCTGGCAAGCAGATGTGTGCTTGGAGTTAGTTTCCTCTTGAACCTTAAATTCTCAAGCATGTGGGGGCTCAACCAGGACCGGGGGGGTGATGCAGGGAGAGGGGGCTTTAAGCCTGCCATTCTGAAATGGTCCTGGGGAATTGCTGCTTAGCCGTTTGTATCCCCTTTCCACTGCCACAGAGGAGAGTTGTTGAAGCGGTTGGGAAAGGAAAAAGCGAGCCAGGAGGATTGCAATACATTGTACTACAATTTCCTACTTCCAAGAGTTGACAGCAGTGACTACTTCATGAACTGAATCATGTCCTCTGGAATGTATAGCTGCCAAAGACACTGCAGAGCTGAAAACGTTTGCAACAGAGCAATCTGTTCTACGAGAGAGGCAGAACTCATCACCTACAAAAATTCACCGAAAAGTTCCAGAAACGACTGCTCAACCAACATTTTAAGTATTTTCTTCTTTTATTCATATGACTGCTCAGCAGGAGGGTCGGGGTCTTTTAAAACTCATAATATCATCTCTGACAAATGAGCGCTGTGGTACTTAAGACGGACGGGGCTGTGGGTGAAAGAGGAGAAGCCTGGCCATCGGAGGAGAGAGGCTGCGGCACTCAGAGGTGCTGAAGCAGCCAGTCCAGTACGGGCAACCGCACCAAGTTGCCCAAGGCCTCCCCCAGCTGTCGTTCCTTCTCGTACTTCAACACGGCTTGCATGACTTCCCCGACACTGTAGCCCCTTTCCACCGCCAAGGAGGAGAGTTGCTGAAGCTGTTACAAAAGGAAAGAGAAAGCCAGGAGGATTGTAATTTTTTTCCCAGGGAAAGCGACTGGCATGGCAGAGCCATTCGTTGTCTCCTACCGAGCCTCTCCCATTCTCAGCCTCACATGCGCCTAGCTCTAGAATCACTAGGGCTCAGTATCTTAACCAGGGTTGCCAACTCTGGCTTGGGACATTCCTGGAGATTTTGGTGGTGGAGGCTGGGGACCTCCATCGGGTGTAATGCTATAGAGTCCACCCTCCAAAAGATCCATTTTCTCCAGGGGAACTAATCTCTGTAACCTGGAGATCAGTTGTCATTCTGGGAGATCTCCAGCCACCACCTGGAGACTGGCAACCCTATTAAGAGCTGGAACAAAAAAAGGGGAAGGTCACACATCTCTTTTGTACCACAAAATGCAAATTGCTTTCCACACAAAGCCTCACATTTGGGGGGAATACCCATGAAGTAAGCAAAATAAAGATAGGGTTGCCAGGTCCCTACCGCTTGTCCAGTGGGGGCGAGAAGCTCCTCACCTGGGAGTTTCGCGTGCATGCTGCAATGACATCACCCGGAAGTGATGTCATCATGCTAGGCACGTCGCTGGGGGACGTGCTAGCATTCGGCCTGAAAACTCTATGATACCAGAGTTTTCAGGCTGAATGCTAGTACTTCCCCCGGTGACGTGTCTGGCACAATGACATCACCTCTGGGTTACATCATCACGCCGGGCATGTCGGCCCAATCCAGGTACTTTGGGGGTGGGGCTGCCCCACCAGCCGGATCTGGGCCAGCGGGTTGGGGGGGCCTAAAGTGAGCAAACCCCTGCCCCCTCAGGGAATCTGGCAGCCTTAAGAACATTCTAAGTGTTGGAGGCCCTCTGTAAAACACTTCCCCACTAGGTATGCCTCCCCCTTCCTCTCCCCACCACCTCACCAGTTTGGTGTTGATGCCACTGGTTGCCACTCCCTATGGCTGCTGGTGCCTGGCCAACTACTCCCTAAGCAAGCAGTGGTCCCAGCAAGGAGTTGGGGCCTAGGCAGAAAACCAGGAAGCATGAGGAGGCAGCTGGCATTGTTGCTTCTGGCAATTACAGTTGCCTGCTCAGTCAGGCAAACCAACAGGTGGGCAAGTGGTGGCAAAAGGCAGCTGACGTGCACCCAAGAAGAGGAGACACAGTTCTGGGGATAATCAAGTGGGTGACCAGCAGCTTCAAGCAGCAGCAACACACACATCTCCTCTCTCCCTGGGGAGAAGCAAGATGATGTCATTGAGAGACCGAGGCTTGGAGGGCCCAATGTTTGCCACTGCCCAATGGGAGAGGTGTGGGCATTGGCAGCTATTCTAGACATCAAGCTATGATATGGGCAGTTTGTTGGGGGCTGGCAGTAGTTCCCCTCCTGGAGTAATGGTCTCTTGCAGCTTCCAGAGGATATCACCTCGACACTGGCCCTATCTTCTCTCCCTCCCCAAATCCACTACCCTTTTAATGAAAGGGTTATCTTTTAACATATTTATTTATTTATTTATTATTTTGATTTATATCCGACCCGTCCCACAAGCGGGCTCAGGGCAGGTCACAACAATAAAGTCCAGTTACAGTCTAAAATGATTGCATATATAAATATCAAATATTAAATTAATACAATAAAACCCCATTAAATAAAAACAGTTAAGGTCAGCTTTTAGCCTGTTAACTGTTTTTACGAAGACTTCTTTTAAGCTACTCAGTGTTTTGTACTGTTTTATCCTCTGGATGGGTTTTTAATTGTTAACTATTTTTAAATTTTATTATGGTTATTATGTAAGCTGCCTTCAGTGGATTCTCTGAAGAGACAACACAGAAATTTTCTAAGTAAATGAAATAAATACCTGAAAAAGTTGATAAAACCATTACCTCATCTGTTATATCACAGAAAAACAAAAGGCCAGAATTGGAATGTTTATTGAAGGGGGTCTTGAAATTCTGAGAAGGAGTGGTGAATGCCACCCTAAAACGGATGCCTCAGGAGGCAGGTTCAAATGGAATACAGTCTCCCTCCTCATAGCTCCTGGGAAGAAGGAAAGCCCGCAGGGGGAACGGAACCACACGCTGACTAAGGAAAGCCATTCATTTGAATGAGGGCAGCCAATAACAAACCCTGCCTTACAATGGCCCCACCTAATTTCTGAAAAGCTCAGTGGGCACCTTGTTGGGGAACCCTGCTTACTGAAATTCTGCTACCTTCCCCCAACCAGTTTTTCATAGTTTACCTTATTCAGCGTTTCTTCATCGTCATCCATGAAGTACAACACAGGCACATTTAACTGTGAGGCCGCCACCCACTGAAGGATGGCTTGGAGCTGTTTGTGGTGCTTGTTCTCTGGAGCATTCTGGTTGGTCACAACCACTTTGCGTCCAGATGCAGTGTCTTCGCCCGACCCGACCCGGCTTTCCCCAGCATCGGAGTCCTTGAAATACATCACCCCACCAGCATCTTCTCCATCTCCTTCATCTTCAAGACCTGTCTCAGGATTGCTGTATTTGGCTATCATGAGACACAGTTTTGTTACCGTATCCACCAGGTGGTCGATGAAGGGGCCGCTGCCTCCTTCCTTCCTGTCAACATCAAACTGTTCCAGAATCATTTTGGTCAGTCCAGAGATGGCGTCTTCATAGGAATGGTCTGTTTCTGAGAGGCCGGATGGCCCTGGTCCCTCAAAGTATTTGCAGGCATTCCGGCTTGCTTCTTCTGCCATCCCACTCCCCACGCCTCCTCCTAATTTGTTGACCGTCTCATTGATAAGCTTCTGGATGAGCATCACCACCACACTGGACATGTCATTTTCGGGATTTGCCTCTGACTGTTCATCATCACTTTGCTTGGTTGGGTCATACAGTCTTGCTGAATGTGGGGGGGAGCCACCACTGCCTTTATTGTGGGACAGAAAGCCAAATGTCCCAGCTGCCTGGCTGGACCTGCCACCGTCTCCTTCCTTCGTGGCATTCTCCTGCTGTACTAGATGGTATTGTATCAGGAGCAACGCTGTCACAATCAGGTCTCTCGCCCAGGAATCTGTGGCGAGGTCTTGGTTGTCCAGATTCCAGGGGGCACCACCCGTGGCCTTGGATGACTGGGGATTGGCACCTCCGGGGTCGGCCTTTTTCTGCCACTTGGTGAGGCCCTCCTTCAGGATGTGGTTTCCAACTGTTTCCGCGCAAGTCATTTCTTTCTCTTTATGTGATTCTGATTTCGCAGCGGAAAACCTCATGTTCTGAGTCTTCCCGTCAGCTCCTCCCCCTGTCTTGACACTGGTAAAAGCCATGCTTTGGGACCGGGCCTTGTCACCCGCCTGCTTTTGCACAATCAAAGCATAATGCAAGCGATTCAGCATGGCTTGTACAATCTCAGACGCCTTTTGACTTCCTTGGGTGAAGAGGCTCCGCTTCACTGCTGAAACAAAGTCGGAGTCAGTCATTAGGGTCCCCGTGACGTCGTGCAAGTTTTTCATGCAGGAGTCTATCAGGTCAGAGACCACCTCCTTGGAATGCTTCAGCAGGACCTTCTTTAAGACTGCGCAAGCTATATTGGAATCGTTCACTTTAACTTTCATCGTCTTCATGACGGAGACCATCATATCTGAAACAACATTGTTGGCATAAACCAATAAACCTTTGCTCAGGGAGCTGGTATACTCATCGGTGCCAAAACGTTTCCGATGGTTGCAACCTTTGGTCCTGTCCCTGCATGGTTCGCTTCTATTCGGCATTTCCGTATTCTCTTCTTTGTAATACATGGTCTTCTGCTTCATCGGGGGGCTCCCTTCAAATTTGCATTCACCCATCTTGGATGGTTTGTGCTTCTCCTCTGCGCCCGCCCCAACAGACCTGTGGCCATGGTCCCCAGCAGCCGTAAACCCGGTCTTGTGGACATGTGTTTTGCCATCTGCATTCTCGTTCATTTCCTTGCGCGCCATCGCTATGGCAAGGTTGGAAAGCCTATTGCAATAATAAGAGACTTCATCGGGGTCAGGATTCATGTTTGGCGAAGCAGAACTGTCACTTTCCTCATCCTTCGCCTCCTTTTGACAAGCAGCCTTCATTGCCAAGTGGAAGTTGGGGGAGCCCCGGTTGGAGTTGACGTTCATGCTGAACTCCTCATCGCACACGCTGTAGCCACCGGGGGAATGCACATTGCGCTGCGGCATGGCTTGCCTCGCACTTGCAGTCGAGTCTTTTGTACTGGGGGCACCTGCGTTATTACTGGCATTCAGCACATTCTGGATCCCTACGGCACACTTTTCCAGATCTTTTCGGAGCCAGCTCAAGACTTTGAGTGGATCGGAGGCAGTTTGTTGGAAAAGTTTGGCCGAGTCAGTCTAAAGATGGGAAGAAAACACCACTTTTCAATGGTTCAGTGCTCACAACGATGGGGTTCAGTTAGTACAAAAAACCCCATCACTACCCCAACAAAACAAAACCTGCCCTCCTCCAAAGCTGGGGAAAACATTCAGAGATGAGTCTAGATGCCATTCTAATGACTGTTGCCTGCTCTAGGGAAACTTGCCATTGTTATAAGCGGCAGGCCTGAACATACTTAGAAGAATGATGTGATGCAGTACTTTCTGGATTGTACCATTTCAGATTGTAGGCTAGGGGTCATGGCTTGGACCCAGCAATGTGTAACCAGCAAGGGGATGCTGCAAGGGAGGAAGAAGAGAAAGAGTTGGATTTATACCCCGCCCTTCCCTCAGTCTCAGAGCGGCTTACAATCTTCTTCCCTTCCTGTCCCCATGACAGACACCCTGTGAGGTAAGTGGGGCTGAGAGAGCTCTTCAAGAACTGCTCATGAGAGAACAACTCTGAGAGAACTTGTGACTGACACACGGTCACACAAGCATGTGGAGGAGTGGGGAATCAAACCCTGTTCTCCCAGATTAGAGTCCACACCAATGTTCCCTCTAAGCTGTGGAGTCTTGTGAGCAAAAATTCTACTTTGTGAGCTACTGGCATTAAAGTTGTGAGTGAGTGATTTGGCTACTGCATAAATTAGTTTGCTCTGGAGCCCTCCGTCCTGAGCTAAGGAAAAAATGTGTGGAGGTTAAAAAACTGAGCTAACTCACACTAACTCAGCTTAGAGGGAACACTGGTCCACACTCCTAACCTCTACACCAAACTGGCTCTGGAGAAGGAACTTCCAGTTTCCCTTCCACTTCACTTTTGCCAATCCATCTAAGGGCATGTGGAACCACAGAAAATGGGTGGAAATCCCCCCCCCCTTCTGCTGGTGAAAGCAAGGTGGGAGGGAAACCAGAAGCTCCCCCACCCCTTGCAGCACTGAACGAACAAGCACTTTTAAAGGTGAGTTCCTCTGCTGTACATCAGACTGTGGGTTCACTCATGAACCCACAACCCTGTACTTGCCCAGTGCATCATGTAGTTTGGCTCCAACTCTTGTCTAATCCTGCCAGTGGGGGCTCCTTACAACTGTCAGGTGGGAGTTTCTTCTTTCCTTTTCTTTTTTTCCCTGCCATCCAGTCACATCTGACTTACGGTGACCCTTCGTGGGGTTTTCAAAGCAAGGGATGTTCAGAGATGGTTTGCCATTGCCTGCCTCTGCAGTATGGCCCTGGTATTCCTTGGAGGTCTCCCATCCAAATGCTAGCCAGAGCCAACTGTGTTTGGCTTCTGAGATCTGATTAGACAGGGCTAGTCTGGGCCATCCAGGTTGGGACAGTCTCTTCTAGCCCTGCTGAGATTCTTGTAGCTGGAGCCTGAACCTCAGCCCTTCTGTATATTGAGCTGTGGGCCTCCCCTGCCTCATGTGAAGCATGTGAGTCGTGGGATCTGCTCACTTCCTGTGTATGCAGTGCATGATTAGGATCAGGACAGGGGTGTGTGTGGAGAAAGGGCTTCAACCTTTGTCCTGCTGTGCTGTTTCCCCAGCTTTAAAGATTCCTTAGCTGTTGTAGATTTTCCGGGCTGTGTGGCCGTGGTCTTGGCATTGTAGGACCTGACGTTTCGCCAGTAGCTGTGACTGGCATCCTCAGAAGTATAACACAGAAAGATGGAGTACTCTCTGTGTCAAGGTGAGAAGAAAAATGGTAGGCAGGTAATTTATATCTACTCAGGAAGGTGGGGGTAGGGCTGAGTCATTATCTTGTAGGAGTTCCCCAGGCTGTGAACATGCTAATGGAGGAGCTTTCCTGAGGAGGTTCTTTTATATATGGATTGTTTCCTGAGGAGGTTCTTTTGCATGTGGATTCTAATCTTATCTGTAGTGCTATTGTCAGATGTAGAGCCTCAGGGCTACTGCTTTTCCTGTTTTGGTGGATACATTTCAGTTTGCGTAACAACCTGAGGAGCTGGACAAAATTCTTAGGGATGCAATGCTAACAGCAAGCTTGCATGAGCCTATGTGGACAGTTCAGGGCTTTTTAAAAATGTTCTTTAAATAAGCTTCCTTCCTTTATTTATATATTTAAATCATTTATGCACCACCTTTCCTCGTAGTTCAATGCAGCTTACAATAATACTTTAAAAAATCCAGTTAAAACTAGAATAAAACAGCAAACCTTCTGATGAAATGGAGCATGCTAGGATCATGTTCTTACCGTCCAGGTCTGCTCCTCCTCGTCACTGGGGGTATAGCGATCGACTTTGCACAGTCCAATTGGGCTCTGTAACCAGTCAATGCTATCCGTCGTCTGGAATGGGAAGAAGTGATAACCAGAGTGAAACTCTCAGACAGCAATCTTTACCTTCATCCTGTTGTTCTGTACAGTCTCCTTTTCCACAACAGAAGTGATGAAACTTTGCAAGCTTTGCCAAGTACCGGTATGACCACAAGCACAGCTGTGTGCCCACTGCAATTGTGCAGTAGCACAAAAGTGTCACTGGACACAGAACCTAAGCTTTTGTGTGTGTGTTTTTAACCATGCAAGTTTCTAGTCCTTATGGGTGCAGTGATATGGTTGAAAGTCTTTGTGCAAAGCCGGCTGAGATCTGATGGTCTGGATAGAGCGAGGAGGGTCCTGAACAAGGCTACAGGGTTTCAGAGCCCTGCCCACTCCTTGCAACAAGCAAAACTAGAAGAACTGTGAAATCCTAAGAACATTTTCTGGGGGTAAGTGCCATTGAATGAGCCAGAGTAGGGTTCTGAGTAGGTCTGCTAAGCAGGGCTTTCTCCCCCCTGGGGGAACACACTGGAACGGAGTTCCAGAACCTCTTTGACAAAATTATTTTTAAAATGTTTAAAGTTCATGAGTTTTTAGTATACAGATTGAAAACTTTATTTCCGTCTTGAGGGTTCCGGCACCTCTTTTTCCAAAAAAAAAAAAAAAAAGGAAAAGGAAAAAAGGTCTGCTGCTAAGGAAGACACAGTACACTAGGCAAAGCTCACCACCTAGTGGTGCCAAAAAGAACTACAGCTTCAGGCAGCCAATCAGTTCTTTGGGATCTTCTGGCTATTCCATACACACTGTCAGCCATACTATAATTTATTTTAATTTCTGCCATCCCAAGAAGGAAGAAATCCCCGACTGTCAAGGGTTCCTTGGTAGTTTCTTGCTAAAAGGACAAAGTCACCCCACTGATGTGAATTCCATTTTGGTGACTTTCAATGTTTCTCTCAAGCTGCTAACCATCCCTGCTCTCCCCCCACCCTGATAAATGGCAGACAATTGTAAAAAATTGTTAAGGAAAAACTCCTTCCTTCTGGCAAGAAGCAAGTCTTCTGGGTTTGACACACTGGTGTTCCCTCCTGAGGGCTGCTTGTGTAACAACAATAAAATACAAGAGTGATACAATAAAATCATAAAAATAACAGCCCCCTCCCCCAAATTATCAGTGCTAAAACAACCCATAAAAACAGCATAAAACAACATTCAACAGCCCACAAAGTTCTAAAAGTGACCTCAGGCTAGAAGGAGAAAATCAAAACAATGAGAAAAGATGGAACACCTCAGTTAAAAGCCTCAGTAAAAAGACATGCTTTCTTTGGTGCCTGAAAGACAGTAGGGTAGACACCAGACAAGCCACTAAGGGGAGGGAGGGCATTCCAAAGGCAAGGTGCCACCACTGAAAAATCCCTGTATCTGGATCCAAGTGCCTCACTTCTGCAGGTGAGGGCACAAAGAATATGGCTTGGAAAAGAGGGCAAACTTGTTTTTTAGAAAGCCTCAAGGCTTTTCTACCTATAAAGATGACTTGTAGAAGGAAGTCATATCATAGGGGTTGCAGCCCCATCTCTTTAAACACAGGTCTAACTGCCTTGTCGTGGTGAGGAGGCTTGTGTGGTTCGATGAGGCTGTGGGCTATGCCATGGAGGGCCACCCAAGATGGTCCACAGGCCACAGCAGAGAACTCAGACTAAGTGTGATCCCATGGAGAAGGAAATGGCAACCCACTCCAGTATTTTTGCCGAGAAAACCCCATGGACAGTATCAAAAGGCTAAAATATATGACGCCGGAAGATGAGCCCCTCAGGTCGGAAGGTGTCCAATATGCTACTGGGGAAGAGCAGAGGGCAAGTACAAGTAACCCCAGAAAGACTGAAGCGGCTGGACCAAAGCCGAAAGGACACTCAGTTTTGGATGTGTCTGATGGTGAAAGGAAAGTCCGATGCTGCAAAGAACAATACTGCATAGGAACCTGGAGTGTAAGATCTATCAAGGTAAGCTTGACGTGGTCAAAAATGAGATGGCAAGACTGAACATCAATATCATAGGAATCAGTGAACTAAAGTGGACAGGAATGGGCGAATTTAACTCAGAAGACCATTATATCTACTACTGTGGCCAGGAATCCTGTAGAAAAAATGGTGTGGCCTTTATAGTCAACAAGAGAGTGCAAAAGTCAGTACTGGGATACAGTCTCAAAAATGACAGAATGATTTCAGTCCAATTCCATGGTAAACCATTCAACATCACAGTAATCCAAGTCTATGCCCTAACCACTGATGCAGAAGAGGCTGAAGTGGACCGGTTCTATGAAGACCTACAACACCTCATAGAACTAACACACAAAAAAATGATGTCCTCATCATCATAGGGGACTGGAATGCTAAAGTAGGGAGTCAAAAGGTAACCGGAATAACAGACAAGTTTGGCCTTGGAAAACAAAATGAAGCAGGGCAAAGGTTAACAGAGTTTTGTCAAGAGAACACACTGGTCATAGCGAACACCCTTTTCCAACAACCTAAGAGGCAACTCTACACATGGACATCACCAGATGGGCAACACCGAAATCAGATTGACTATATAATTTGCAGTCAAAGATGGAGAAGCTCTATCCAGTCAGTAAAAGACCTGGAGCTGAATGTGGCTCAGATCATGAGCTACTCATTGCAAAATTCAGACTTAAACTGAAGAAAACTGGGAAAACCACGAGGCCATTCAGGTTTGACCTAGATCGCATCCCTGATGAATATACAGTAGAGGTGAATAATAGATTCAAGGGTCTAGATTTGATAGAGTGCCTGAAG